CGCCTTGGTTCTTGGATGGTGGAGCACAATTCTTATAACAAACTGTGATAAATTCTTTGTCCTTTGCCACACTTTTTCTTCGTACAAACAAACCAAAAATCCACAATGGGCAATTGCAGTGTTGGTAAATGTATCCTTTTTACATACAGGGAGTCTGACGAGGATAGCTGATTCATTTAGAAGTGTAACTGGTGCTGTGATTATAGCAATACCTTTACTTTTGTTACTCATGCATCATCTTCTCATGATAGATTTTTAAATGTTTAGTTTTTCTCTTGTCATGGTCAAACTGCTGAGTTTACTTGAAGGATGTACAATACTGTCTGAAGAATACTAAATTGTGTACAATTAGGTCAATGAATTGTGCAATTGTTTTGTTTTTAATTTTTAAAGCCAAGGTTCAAAAATGTATGAGAAATTCAGATTCAGTAGAACATAACGATACTACGTAATTTAACCAAAGTCTCTAGAGAATACTTTAACTTTGAATGTAAACTAATGGATCAACTGACCAACGGGGTCACTGCTTGCCCAGCATCACAAGCACATTGCCTACAGATGGGGAAACTAAATACAGTATAATTTATAAAGTAATTACCAGGTTACTATTTTTTTTCTTTCATTCCTATTTTCACTGAAAAAAGGAAAATGCTATCAGTTGTAAAATACAGTATGGTCATAGTCCTCTTAATAAAGCAGAGATTCCAGTTATTCTCAAAGTGAGTACCCTGTGCATAACAGTAAACTTAGTGACAATCGGAACATGCTGTAGTATCAGTCAGATGTTCAAGAGGAAGTCGCTATCGTTGCATTGGTTTTAATATTTGTACATAAACACTGATTTTTTTGAGCATTATTTTGTATTTGTTGTATTTTAATACCTGGTGTACAGTTCCAGAAATAAATGTCTGGAAACCTTTCTTTACTTGTAAAGCTTTTCATGATCTGCACTGTGTTTGCTATGTCATTTTCAGATGTGCTTAGCACTAACTCTGCACGTATTCTCAGATACTGTAACACTAATGTAAGAGTGAAAAAGATAACAAGCAGATTTGCAGGTAAAATAATAAGCAGTGATTTCCCTCAAACCTTATGCCTTACGCACAGCAGTATCTTAGATGGGACTTAAACATAGCTTCCAAGGAACAGCACAGCAGCTTAACCCCATATTCAAAGTGCGGGGTAAGCTGTGCAGAATATATTCTTATTCTCTCTGTAAGAAAACTTACCCAAATCCTTGAATCCACAACTTCGATCCATTAATCCAGCTCAGTTACAACTGTGAATAGGAAAAATTCTACTCTGCATGCTTAAGTTGAACTATCTCTCTGAAATGTTTTTTATGTGTTGTCCTGAAGAAAATGATCATGAACTCTGAAAAGCGCTGTGCTGCTTCTGAGTAATTGCTGCTCCATCAAGCACCAGAATTAGTGCTGAGGCTTCTTAGGCTCAGTGTGCATATTTCTGCAATGACTGGAACAATAAAGCTTCAGGTAAAGAAAGGATTTTTTTAAATAAAGTATACCTGCCTGGAGTGCAGGCTGATTATAAATAAACCAGCAGAAGAGTTAATTTGCCAAGTAATTTAAGGAGCTGCACTTTCCTTTCTCTTCGAGCTAAGAGAAAGAGATGTGAATTGGGTCTTTTCTAATGATAATTGTTAGAAGGTGCAAAACAAAGTACCCAAAAACTCTTTGGTGACAGGCTGAACCTCCCTTCTGCTGGTGATTTGGTGTAAGATTAGTGCCGTTAAACTGGCAACAAAAGAAAAGCCGTAATGCCTACACCCTCCCCTTTGCCTTAGTTGTGTCATTCACCTGCTGCCATGTGGGGACATTTGATTCAATTAATGAACCTTACAGAAGAAAACCACCTCCTTTTGGTGTGAAGTACTGGCTCCTGTCAGTGTCATTAGCTGAGGCTCAGAATCAGTAAAGGGAAGGATGAGGCAGCCAGGAGCAGAGCTTCCCCGTATTCAAATGGACCTGCTATAAGAACAGCATCTCCTGAACATGAAAAATGAACGCATCTTGCAGTGTCTCTGCAAGATCCAGTGAGTCATACTGAAATTCACAGCCACCAAACACAGCTCCCTGCTCGCTGGCTCCTTCCGTGTCTTATGTGAATCGTTGCAACAGCAGAAAACAAAACAAGGGAAAATCCTCTTTTTTGTTGTTTTTTTGTTACCACATTTGGCAAACCATGGCTCATGGCAGGGTCAGACCAGAAACAGCAGGAAGGACTGAAGGCTTTGAGGACAAAGGAGGAAGGATGGATGAGCGCCAGTGTTCCCCTGTGACAGCCTTCCGCTTCCCAAAGGTGCCGTGCGAGCTGCCTGGCAGCCCCTGTACAAGTCCCAGCTGGCTGTCTTTACATATTTGTACATGAACACATATCCCCAGCATATTTATTATGTAAATACAAGTGCATATGAATGTATTCATCACTATACATACACATATACACCCTTCAGTAGTGCAACAAATTATTACTCTCAGTGCCTATAAACTTGTTCTTCGTCCTTCTCTTTTTGTCAGCAGTTCCTCCAGTGTCAGTGCGTAACTGAGCCACCTCTCTACTTGCACACACCCATGCTTAAGCAGGCTGCCAGGGGTGCCAGAGCTGCAGAGATGGGTGTAACCTGGTGCAAGGCCCTGGGCAGCTCGGCAGCTCCTTCCCCCCTTGCTGCACAGTCGCACGCTGGTCCCTGCGCTGGCTGCAGTAGCTTGGCTGTGAACTGTTGTTTCCCTTAAAGTGAGTTTCTGATCTTAGGCAACTTCTCACTCTGGCAGGCATGTTCCCCTCTTTCTGTGGGCCCGTTCCTCCAGAGCACCTGCAGCTCTCCTGCTGGATTTGTCAGCTCAGCTTCTCTGATTTTCCAAGCATTTGAACTTTTCTGCCATCCCAAATCAAAAGGGAATCCAGGGAGCAACTTAAGCTCTTGGAGAATTACCAATGCAGCTGTTACAAGCTTCACCTTTGGAGTTAAGAAGTCAAAAGTCAGAGCTGTGCTGGCTGACCTTCCTCTTAAGGCTCTGCTGAGACTGGCCTGGTGCCTCTTGCTGGGAATGCCCTGTTAGGAATTCCAATGAGATTAAAGTAATCTTTCAAGAGATAGAGCTCACTGTAATAACAGGGTACTGGCTGCTGAGTGGCCACCCGGAAAATGCTGGTGCTGTACCTGGGATGGAGCAATGCTGGACACAGGCACTGATGGGAGCTGAGCTGGGGAGCAGCACGGCAGCAAGGGATGTGGAGGAGCTTTTGCCAGCAGCTCAGCTGCCAGTGTGCCCTGGCAGCCAAGGGGTAAACTGCAGATGGGCAGGAGATCTCTGAAGGCCCCTTCCAACTTAACTATTCAATTCTATTCTACAGCCACCAGCAGGCAGATAACAATTGCTGATGCCAGTTTCAGACCAGATTATGCTTTCTTACATGTGTGACCTATCCTTAAAGCAGGCTGCCAGATGTCAGTACTTGAGCAAGGAGAAACCAGTGCCACACATCCTGCTAGGTGCCCTGCAGGCTGCGCTTCAGCTCTGCAATCCTGCACTGCTTTGTTCACATCCAGAGTGCAGCCACTTCAAGAAAGCACCCTAAACAAAATAGCTGTAAAACTAAGTTCCACAGTCATCAGATAGGAGCGTACCTTCAGATAATTTTAAAATTATTAACAGGTGTGGATTGAGAGAGCTAAACTAACCTGTGCCCTTGAGCAACAGCATCTCAGCCTGGAGAAACATGAAGAGCGCTGCATTTCTGGTATGTGTACAGCAGTGCTCCCCACGTAACCGTGAACTCTGATCTGCTCAGCTCTGCAGCACTGCAGGCACCCTGGGAACTCCTCTTCTGTACAGACTGAGATGAGGAAGGGGCCCTGTTCAGCAGAGAAGGGGTCTTCAGAGCGATGAGCAATGAGCTGCAGACGAGTTCGCCAACAGCTGACCTGCTACCACACCATGAAGCCACAGTAAGAGCCACCACTGTATCTCAAAGTGGGCACAGGTGAAGGGAGAGGCTCTTCATGACAGCACCACAACTGTATATTAGCAGTTCTGAAAGGTTTCATAAAAGGTTTGGATAACTGCCTGCACTGAAACACTTTCTGAAAGGAAACATGCACCAAAGGGAATGGAATCAACTCCATGAAAACCAGAACAAGAAAACTACTGAGGATTACTTGGGGAACACTTCTTGAGAATAATTTTCAGAAATTGTGCCTATTGTAAGCATGGGAAACAAAACAGAAAAATATTAAAACTGTGCCATGGTGACCACTGTCAATCTTCTTCCTAGTAGGTGGCATGATGCCGTATTTGGATGACGATGAGAACACCAGTGATAGCACACTGATGTTTCGCCTGATGCAGAGTGGTACTTAGACAGAGCCAAGGATTTCTCAGCCTCACCTCAATGAGCTGGGAAGAGACGGAACCCACACAGCTGACCCAAACTGGCCCAGTACCCTGCGATGTCCCACTGAACAATAGCTCCAGAGGACTTGGCTGGGAGGCAACCGTTGGTTGGGCAGTGGTTGGGCATCCATCAGCATTACTCATTTTGTATACTATTTTCTGTTTGTTTTTTTTTTTTTTTTTTTTTCCCCATTCTGCTTCTGTCTTATTATATGGTCTTTATCTCAACCCACAAATTTTAGGTTTTTCCCCAATTCTTTCCCTGATCCTGTTGTGGAGCCTGCAGCATGAAACCATAGCACAGTTAGAGACAACTGTGTAAACTACAAGATTAAATGCCATTAACTTAACATTTTCACTTGCTGCAGCTACTGTGCAGACAGCTGAAAAGCAATAAACGTACAAGTTAGCTGCAAATCCAATGAGATGAGCCTTTGCTACTGCATCCATTGTGGAGAAACTCAGGAAACACAGGCCTGCAGCTTGATTTCTAAATGTTGAAATTACAGCTCATTGTGTAAAAATGCTTATGAAGCTTGAGGTACACAAACAGGATTTTACTGGCAGTTCAAAATTTATTACTTCAATTGACAATAGTGTAGTAATTAGAAAAAAGTTCTTCTCCTTGCTTGATGTCTCTGAGAGTGACAAGCACTACACACCTCAGGTGGCTGAAAAGAAAAGCAAAACACGGAAATACACAATTAGATACCAGGGAGGCTGTGAAAACAACTCTGAAATGTAGGCAAACAGAATCAAAACCAATGCCAAGAAAAAGTGCAGTCAGTGTGGGTATGCAAATAATGTTTCCATTTGCACAATTACTCAGAAAAGAAATGAATTAATCAAGACAGAGGAAAACATATTATGCAGCAAAGTTAATGGAGCAGAAAACACTGTTTTAGATGTGCACACTCACATGAACCAGTTAGCTAAACCCACTCTCACTGAAACAAAACCCAGAAAGACAGATCTGAACTACAACAAGTAACCTGCTGGAATGCACAGCAATGAGTGAACTTTCCATAAACCCCAAGATGAAATCAGTGGCTTCTAAACAGTCTTCTCATAGAACAAGTTAGTAATCTGTTTGAAATTTCCTGTGAGAGTCATTAAGAAAATGATCATGTCCTAGAGCTGGAAAATCTGTTCTAGGAAAGAGGGTACATTCTTCTGAGGAACATGAAAATAAAGAATAGCATCATTCCATATAATCTCCACTGTTAAAAAAGTTAATGAGACCATTCTGAAATAAATTAACCAACATCGAAGATAAACAAATGGTAAGAACTCTTTTACAATAGAGAATTATTTAGAAATTAGATTAGCAGCGTCACTAGAACTGTATTTATCAGCATCAGATAGAAGAACGCACAGAGAATTCCCTTGTAGCTGGGCACCAGGAGAACTGATAAGACGATATTTTCTTGGACAGATGACAAGGAAGACAGCAAATCTGCCCATCATGAAGCAGCCCCATAGCTTAATTTTCCTCACTGTGCTTTCATACTTTAAGTACAAAACCCAGGGTTTCTTAAAGATCGTATCACCTCTTCCTTTACTGGCATTTCTTTATTTATCTGCAGTTTACAAGTGCATATTTAACCTTGCCTCAATAAAGTCTATGATCAGTCAGAAGAATCATTTTTCCAATATGCACCATCACTCTCAACACCCAAATCTCAGAGTTTTAAAATAGCAACAGAATTAGACTAAAAGGCTGAAATGCCTATTTAGTCCTTACACAACCTTTAGATAAAGAGAACTGTGTTGTTCCCACAGGAGCAGCTAGACCAAAAAGGGCAAAATCTTCAGTGTTTAAATTCAGAACCAACATTACGATCAATTCTTCACAGCTTGAAAGATATTCCTGACTGTGACATTGTGTAGGACAGTCTCTTCCACAGAGCTCCATACAAATACTCATCTAATTGTCACTTTTTCTCACAGCTCCAACCAAAAATCTGTCAAAGCTTTCAAAATATTTTAATTTCTAAAAGAGGTGGAATTTCAGCTTGTAACAAGAATGCCTCAATTGCATAATATAACCAGAAGGCATACGTACACCTTTATGCTGCACAGCATTTAATTTGTCTCAGTACAAATTCCTTTTAAATTCCTCAACCGTTCCATAAGAAGAAGACCTGGAGAACAGAGGAGTGAGAAGCCCAAGTCTCAGCAGCCTTAGAAGTGCGTTGATTGGTTGCAGGTTACTAACTAAGTTTGAAACACATACTAAAAAGCCTCATTACTGTTATATAAATGATATACAAGTAGTGCTTAATGGGATTCTGGAAAATCCCACCACAGTGTGTAAGATCACTGCTTGTAAAATAGTGTAGTCAGAGCTATAATGGTCTCTTCTGCAAACATGTACAAAAAAGGAACAGAAAGAATAGTCTTGTTACTTTGAATGAATCTATTCAAAGAGCTGAATCTTCCTTACCATCTTCTCATGGACTAACATTCCCTTCAAACACGTTTTCCTTTTCCACACATGCAGTATGCTTTGATTCACACAAATCTACGAGCTCTTTGACTCACTGCTAACCTCTCTATCTCGTGGCTGTAGACGATGTTTGGAAGATACTGTTTCAGTTCTACAGGAAAATGTCTTGGCACATCAAACTCCTGATAACATACATTGGCTGCTTTTTCTAGAAAAAAAGAAAAAAATTGTTTCTATAATGCTCAGTAGGTCTTAGATGGGTGTAAGAGGTGTGTAAAAATAATAAGTAAATACTGCAAAGGTACCAGATGCTTAACAAAGTCTGAAAAGCACGCCCCTGACGAGAACTACTACACTCATCTGGAGTCCTGCTCTGAATTTGCACAAAAGATACACAACCAGCTATTGAAGGTTGGTTTATCCTCACTACAATAAACAGGATGACTGACTATGAGGATAGATGTGAGGGGTAAAGCACATGCAGCACCAGGGAGAGTTTACAGTGCTGATGATATCTATGACAATATTTACTTATAATGTTTAAAAAAAAGGATCTCGGTGTCGACAAATATTTTGACAAATTATGTTGCAAAGAGAGTCATGGAGAAAATCACTATCTGTGCAGCAGCAAAAAGGGCATTTTCTTTACATGAACGGTGGGCCTAGAAAAAACAAATTAATGCGAGAGCTTTGTCTTCATGCCAGTCAGTCTGTGGCTCATACTCCAGAAACCTTTCTCTCTGTTGCATGGGCAGCAGTTATACTGCAAGCTCTTAAAGCCTCTTACAGGCCAGGTATAGCAGCCGTTACACTTTCTATTCCCCTTGATCATCTGCATGACTCAGCTATTTCAAACCCCCAAAATGTAAGGGCCAACACATACTGCAAGGCAGAAAAAAAATATATAGTTCCCTTCACATCCCACTGCTGTAATACTAATTATTAGAACTTGTACACTCCTTTCTTATGCTGTTCCTCTTAATCTATTTCTTGTATTATCCTGGGCCAAAGTGTACAGAGACAAAAGATGTCACTTCATGTGTGGTTTTCTCAGCCAGTCTGACGGAACGATACTGAGGAACTCAATCTGTAACTCTGTGTACTGCCTCATCCAGAACTCTTTTACCAGATACCCTTTCTCACTGACTTGCATTTTGGGATGCATGCCTTTCACTCTGCTTATCCTCACAGAGACACTAGGGGAGTCAGCAAGAAAAGCTCGTGGATATTTGAAGGGTTGTTGCACTGAAGGATTCTGATGCCTAGATCTCACAGAAGACCTCCCAAACAATCTTCCGAGTGTTTATCTTAAGCAGCATTTCTGCTCCCCATCACCCATCAGTATCTGATTGTGTGCCACCTGCAAACTAATCTATTCGCACACAGACAAAGCCAACCCTTGCAGTAACTTACCGTAGGAGCAGTTGTTCACATACTGTCCCACAGCCAGTGGGTTCTGTGGAGCAGCCGTGAGCCAGCTCACGTCGCTCATCTGAAAGGGGCCAAGCTGATCCCTCCAGCTGCAAGACCTGAAAGGACCCACAGTGTTAACACGTTTCACCACTCCTTCCTTACCACAGGATGTGTGCTTCCACCTGCAGAAACAGCCATCTGGAAGCAGGGGAGAGCAATGCCTTGGTCACACCTTAAAAGTACATTTAAACCTCCCACCAGCATGCAGTGTCTCTCAGACACCAACAGAACAAGTGTGAAAACACCATACCAGAAATGTACATCACACCTCGTCGTCACAGGAAAAGCAATACATACTGCTGATCTCCAAAGTTGTCAAGGCTCATTACAGTATCAACAACAAATTTGTTCTTGGCTTTCAAAGCTGATATCAGCTAGCCCTTATTTTGGGTCTTTTTTCCTTGTGACTAAGTTTATCTGCATGCTGTATTAGAACACAGAAACTGCTCCATGAGAATTCTGCAAGTTGCATTTAAGATGAGCTAGAGAAGTCCAGTCAGCTTCATGCTTACTCCAAATGCCACTGCTCCCTCATGTGCTGCCCATCTGCAGCCCCAACGTGGAGTTGCCAGATTCACCCTTTTGTTGTTAACGAGTCCATATGGAAGCTATTTTTCCCCATCCACTAAGCAGATTTAATTATAGAGAATTTAAAAAAATATATATGCTATGTTCTGTTCCTATTAACTCTTTTCATTATAAGAAACTGTTTCTTTAACATCACTTTCATCAAAATGCTTCTTGCTGGCGTTACAGGTGGGACCCAGGTACAAAACATCACAAGCAGCAGCCCTTACCCTCATGCTGTTTGTTTTAAGAGATACACAGAAGCGGATAACATTTCAAACAAAACTCAAACTACGGTACACCAAGAGAATGGACACTATCTGTACTACCTTTTAAAATTCCATTTTGAATGCCGTTCCCCTATTTGAGTGCTTACCTGTACACTGATCTTGACAGTCCTTTATCGTTCCCATCAATAAGAATACCATCTATGCACCTAAAAATAAACGGATTGCCAAGCGACTGGAAAAAGATGGGCTCGTGCTTTCTGTAGACCGTACCTGTTGCAAGACAGATATGATTATTTCAGAAGAAAATAAGAACAGACCCAGATGTCCTCCTGTACAGTCTCCTCTGCACAGAAACTCAAGAGACACCAGGGGTGTGAGATCAATTCTCCCAGCTGAGACTCTCAGACACTGACTCAAAGCCTCCAAGCATTTAGATACATCTTTCTGCAATAAGAAAGATCTGCACCAGAGGAGATAATCCAAAGGGAAGCCGCTGGAGGAAAGCATGAAGGAGGTCTGTGCAGAGTGCCTGTGAGCGGTACATAAAGCACCACGGCCAAGAGCCCTGCTTCAGAGAGTAACGACAGGATTACAAGTCGTTTTCAGAAACATAAGCAAATAAAGTTCCAAGGAACGAGCAGCAGGAGCGGAGAAGTGCACGTTTGTAATGATGCTTTATGGCAGAGTTCCAGTAAATGAGGGCTTCAGTTTCGTTCTCCAGGAGGTACCTGTCTGCTCACCTGTCAGGATACCTCTGAGCTGTTTTGTCAGGCACACATACAAAACAGAAACCCTAGGGAATTAATCTATACTGCTCAAGCTGTTCCTACACATTTGTGTTTAAAGAATCTGGAACGTCAAAGCCAGACCCGAACAAGGTCGTTTGTTTGATTTTCCTATTAATAAGATTCCCTCCCTCCTCTGACACGCTTTGCTTTCTTCAAAAGCGTACACAGAAATACCCTCACCCCCC